CATCCAGGCAGTGATATAAAGCAGGCCTTTAGAGATCTAGGACTGAGTTGGAACTGCGTAGTGGGAAGAACACTAGATTGGTAGTCAGAGAACATGGATTCAAATTCTAGTTCTGCCTATGTGACCTAGGAAAAGTCACTTATGCTTTTTGGGCCTTGGTTTCCTCATCTGTAAGATGATAAAACTAGACTAGGTAATATCTAAGTTCTCTTTTAATTCAAAATCTATGATCTTATGATGTCCTGGAGGTCAAAGGAGAGAGTTTAGAGCTTGAGATATAGGTGTGTGGAAGTCAACAAAATACAGTGCCCCCAAAGTCTTAGTTATTTAGTTATTAAGGTTTAAAATGCCCTAAGACTTTCTGGGACACCCTGTAATCATGATAGTTGAAGCCATGGAAGTGAATGAGGTCTTCATAAAGAGAGGAGGTAGAGAAAAGAGAGAAGTCCTAGGACAAAACCTCACATGCCACCTGTACTTGGGAACTAGGAGGAGCAAGAGGATCCAGTAAAAAGGAATGGGAAAGATTGATCAGAGATGTTGGAGGTTGACCAGAAAAGAACTGTATTCACTGATGTGGGTGGAGAGGAGGTATCCAGGTTGAAGAGGTGGATGAGTAGTGGCTTCTGTTACAGAAAAGTCAAAGACTTTGAAAACTCAGAAGACATTTTTAGATCATTTGTTTTCTCCATTAGAGAGGCCCAGTTTCTTCCTTGGCTACATTGTCTGATGATTCTCGATCAAAATAAGCAAAAATAACCTCCTTTGTCACAGTGGCAGCCATTCCCCTTCTCCATCTCTCCTCCCTACCCTTTGCTTCTATCAGAATAGGTGAATGAGATGTCCTGGTGGCCTATCATACTTTTCTAACCCCCAGTTTGAAAGAAACGCATCACACTTAGAGAGCTAGAAGTAGACACTGAGGTGGTAGTACTCTTGCCAAGAATCTCTGCCTTGCTTCTGGTAAAGAACATGTGAACTATGTCACCCGTGCTGAGTCAGTGTTGGTAGTTTAAATGTTGGTGGCCTCAAGAAATATTTTTTTCAATATATTTTTATTCATTTCATTAAATATTAGCCAATAAAAAATTAAAAAAAATAACAGTTTTAACAAAGAATTCCACATTCTCTCTTCTGCCCCTTTCCTACTCCTTAAGAAGTCAAACATCAGTTATATATGTAAAGTCATGCAAAACAGTTCTATAAAAGCCATGTTGTAAGAGAAAAAAGCTGTCCTTCAATCTGCACTCAGAGTTCATCAGTTCTTTCTCTGAATGTGGTTAGCATTTTTCATCATGGGTCCTTTGGAATTACCTTGGATCATTGACTTGATGAGAGTAACTAAGTCTTCCGCAGTTGATTATTGCTACAATATTACTGTTAATATGTACAATATTCTCCTGGTTCTGCTCACTTCACTTTGCATAAATTCATATAAATCTTCCCATGCTTGACAAATCATTTTTACTTGTTTCTTTGGTCTAATTGAAAGAAGCCCAGCCCTTCCTTGAGTCACGGAAGCACGTTGGCACTAACAACTAGTATTTGGAGAATCTTCGGGAAGTAAGAAGGAGACTAGTTACCAGGTTCACCAGGGAAACAAATAAGACATAATAGACTTGTTTCAGTAAGCACAAGGTTAGCCTGGCGTAAGGAATATTATGGACACTAAGTCAGTACCCTTATGGTATGCACAAAGGGAGGTCATGGCATTCACAGGTAACACATGAATAGGAAGCAGGATACAGGGAATGAGGGTTTAGAAGGTCATGAATAACTCAAGCAAGGGCATAGGAGTGGGAAAATACAGAACAGATACTAGAAATGGCATGTTGTATTCTCATAGTTTATCTCAATTTGTTTTCTTCATAGGTTGGATTGAACATTTATGTTATATATACTTTTATATTTTCTTGTTGTCTCCACCACTAGGGTATAAGCTTACCATGAATAGATATTGTTTATTCTTTGTACTTTTAGTACATAGTAGAAATTTAAGAAAGACTTGTGGAAGGAACTCTATTTTCCCCAGCCCCAGACTCTTGTTTCCTAGCCTTTGATTACATTTTTCAAGGTATTGAAAGTTATGGTATTTGAGAATAGGGGAGAAAGAAGATACATAGATCAAGTTTTGCAAGAAAGGTAATGAAAAGTATATTAAACATCCATATTTAGGACTTAGATATACACACTGATTTTATGTAGGTGGTTCACCATAAATATCTATCCTTTTCAACCCTATTCCATCCAATCACAGCTCTTCATCTTGTCTTCAAAGATAGTATAAACGATTTTATATAAAAGATTTTGTCAAATGGTTTGCTAAAATCTAACTCATTTATATCTAGATCATTCTCTTGAGGGGCAGCTAGATGGCGCAGTGAATAGAGCACTACCCCTGGACTCAGGAAGACCTGAGTTCAAATTTGGCCTCAGACACTTGACAGTAAGCTGTGTGACTCTGGGCAAGTCACTTCACTCCAATGCCTTGCAAAAAAGAAAAGAAAAAAAATATATCGTTCTCTTGGTCTATCTTTCCAGGAACAGTGTCAACAAAGTAGAAGAAATTAGTCTGGCATGACCTGTTCTTTTTATTCATTTATTTATTTATTTATTTTTAGTTTTCAGCATTCACTTCCATAAGCTTTTGAGTTTTAAATTTTTTTCCCCTTCTTTCCCCTCCCCCTTTCCCAAGAGGGCATGCAATCTCTTAGAGACTCTACACATACATTCATATTAAACATATTTTCACATTAGTCATGTTGTAATGAAGAATTCGAGCCAATGGGAGGAACCAAGAGAAAGAAGAAACAAAACAACAACAAAAAGAGAGCAAAGAGTATGCTTCATTCTGCAAATCCCACAGTTCTTTCTTTGGATGTGAATAGCATTTTCCATCGAGTCTCTTGCAGTTGTCTTAGATCCTTGCATTGCTGAGAAGAGTCAAGTCTATGAAAGTTAGTCATCACACAGTGTGGCCATTACTGTGTACAGTGTTCTCCTGGTTCTGCTCACTTCACGCAGCATCAGTTCATTCAAGTCTTTGCAGGTTTTTCTAAAGTCTGCCTGCTCATCATTTCTTATAGGACAATAGTATTCCATTACATTCATATACCACAACTTGTGTATGACCTGTTCTTGATGAAGCCATTTGGGCTCTTTATTATACCTCCCTTCCCCCCCCCCCCTTTTTAGAGGTTCACTAACTGTTCATTTAATTATACATTCTAGAATTTTACCAGGAGTCCAAATTAAACTTAGTGGTCTGTAATTTTCTTCTTTCATCTCTTCTCTTCTCACTTTCCTCCCTTCTCTTTCTCTGTTTCTATATATTTTGGAAAAAAAGATTTTTGGTAATAATAAGTAAACTGCATGAACTACAACTTAGGAAATCACCTTTGAACTTAGAATTGCATTATGATAGAGAAATTTGAATGTGAATTAAAGGAGATAAAAATAGAAAGTCCTGTGAGAATGTGTCATCAGTCCTTTGGCTACCAGGAGAATTTGGATGAAACTTTCCTAACAGATTACAAAATTGACACATATGCTAGTAATGGTGAATTTCAACTATCCATACTGTTGCTTTAAGGTTCGTTTTGCTAAAAGTGGAAAGGCCAATAAATTTTTAACATGTTTGGCTGACAATTCACTTCTAGGATATGAAGTATAGAATGAAGGAAACTGCTACTGTATATCAAATTCTAAACATTGTGGAAAAACAGGATTATAATGTAAAATTACAGAGAACCTTGGGGGAAAAGTGACCATATTATCCTTTTAAAAAAATAATTTAAAATTTTCAATTAACAAGCATTTATTTTCTTTCTTTTCTACATCTCTCTCACTAGAAAATAAAAGCAAAACCATTGTAAAAAATATACATTGTCAAGCAAAGCAAATTCTTTTATTAGCCATGTCCAAAATTCTGTGTGTTATTCTGCATATTTAGTCCATCATCTCTCTGTTAAGTAGTGGATAGTATTCTTCTTCATTGGTTCTCTGAGATCGTGTTTAATAATTTCATGTGACAATATTATCTTAGAGTTAAAAATAACCATGAAAGGAAATTCTGGACATAGACATAGCAGCATATAAAATATTCAGAAGGGATGCCCCTCCTGATCCCTCTGAGGAAAGATACAGTGGAAAATGTAGTTGAAGTTAAAACGGAAAATGTATTTAAAAGAAAGAAAGATATGTTCCTCTAGTCAGAGACTCTAAAAAAAGGGAAAAGGGATTTTAAAGGCATTTAAAAAATTCCGACTCCACAATCACAAATTATTTCCATGAGAGAAAAAGGAAGAGGCAACTAAGGAACCCAATGTGATGAACTCAAAAAGAGAGTGTATAGAATATAGAAAGAGATACAGCATTTGGTAAAACAGCTTCTAAGTTTTTTCCAAATCTAAAATTCTGTGTTTTCTTATATTCCTATACAACCTCAGACTGTTTAAAAGATATGAATTCCTAAACATTTCTAAAATACAGGTAATTGTGCATCTCATTGAAATATGCTATGTAGCTTTAATAAATCCTTAATTTTTTTATCTTCATCTTTCATGCTACTAGGTAAGGACATATACCATCTAATGCTGTCATTTCTTTTTCCAGTAGAGGGCTCTGTTGTCCTTGTAAAAGAGTACTTAGAAAAAATGCTTAAAAAGTTAAAGTAAATGTAGATTGGTCTGGTCAGAGACAATGTCTTGGTCACAATCTTTTGCACAGAAGGTATAGACAATAGTGAAAACCTTTGGCATATTATAAGTTATAAAATCTTTCAATAAAAGGGTACAGATAATTAAATTGCCAGTTTTGAGAAAGCATTCATCTCAGGTGACTCATTTTAAGTTGGAAGATCTGGTCTGCCTTTGCCTTTTTCTTCTCTTGGGAAAAATTATTCTTTTAGTGAGAGATTAATTTGTATATCTAAGTATCTTATAACCAAATGAAGTGAAGATGTGAAATTGAAACTGATTTTTTTTTGTTTCCCTAAACAGCGTGCAGTTAAGAAATTTCTTAAGCTAGTATCAAGCCAAGATATGCCAGTGTTTCTTATTGATCCTTTGGTTCTGGAAGTGATTAATAAAGATTTTGAACAGGTTAAAAACTCTTCTTATGGCAGTGTCTCAGAATGCAAGTATTTATGTGTGAAAAGAGACTTTACTACATTTGCACTACTGGACCATCTATTGAAAAATGAGGTAAGGTGGTTTACTTTTAAAAAATTGGCTGTGTATATTTTTGCGTCTTTCATGAAAGCAGCCTATGTCAGGTCAACTAGCATCTGTTAAGCACCTATTATATATCACTCACTGTGGTAAATGCTGGGGATACAAAGAAAGCTCTTGAGGAGTTCACAGTCTTAATGGGGGAAACAACATGGAAACAATTATGTACAAACAAGATATATATGGGATAAATTGGAAATCATCAAAGGAGGGAAGGCATTAGCATTAAAGTAAAGGAATAATCTGAAAATAGCTCTGGAGAAAAATGAGCTTTATATTGCTGGTCCCATCAGTTGGAGGAAGAAGGAAAAGGAGTGGTTTCCATTGGAGAAAATTGCAAAGGATGTAGCAGTATACTCAGAGGAATCTGTTTTTCAGGAAAGGCAAGGTAGTGGTTGAATGTAGGAGCTTTTGTTGAGAATATAGTGGAGGGTCTTAGAATGGACTAGGAAATAGGACACTAGGAAGAGATGGCCCCAGTGGGTTGCCAGCTGATCAAAATGAAATGAGGATTTAGAAGGCATTGCTAACGTCATACTCCTTCAGCTAAAGTGCTGGGAGTAGGTAACTGACAGATTGGAAAAACTAGTATAATGAAAAGTATATTTAGAAGATGTGTTTTCAATATAAGAGGTAGATTACTCAGTTGGCAGAACTCTTAACTACCTGTTCTCCTCCTCCCCCACCCCTAATTGAGAAAGCAAGAAAAACAAAACTTGTTCCAGGCATGTATAGTCAAGCAAAACAAACCCCTATGTTGGCCATGTCTTTAAAAAAAAAACACCTCAATTTTCTTTCTGAGTCCATCTCCTCCCTCTGGAGAAGGTTCTGATAAGTTATTTTTTTTTAATGGGGGGGCACACTTTGGACCTGTGATTTTATTGACGTAAAGATATTCTTGAGGGAACTGCTTCTACTGATGCAGATTGGTAACTGTTCTTCAGCTTACAGTATTAGAAGGTTGCTTAGGGCACTGAGAGATTAAATGAGTTGTCCCAAGTCACAGAGCCAGGGTGTGTCAAAGGTGGGTCTTAAAGCTCCATTGTCTAGATTCTAGTACCTGCTATCTGGCCTCTGTGCACCACTATTGCTTGAAGCACACTTTCACTATATGTAATTGTGTTGGGAAAGATAAATTGTCCTATAACACATTAAGATCCATGTAATAAATTCTTTTATAATAGTATTCTGTTACAGAAACAAATTGTAATGTAAGGGTGCTCATGAAAGGGCTGCTTCTTTAAATTGCTATGGAAATGTAAAGTTATTAATAACTAAATTTAGATGAGCAGCTTTCACTTTAAGTATTGCTAGTGAGCAGTCTATTAAAATTTATTTTATTTATACTTTCTGGTGAATTCTGAGGAATAGATTGGATGAACAGTCAATCAGCAAGTATTTGTCAAGTGCCTATTTACTATGTGCCAGTCACTGTGCCAAGAATTGGGGATACTGATGCAAAATCAAGACAGTCCCTGCCTTGAAAGAGCTTACATTTTGGAAGGATACCATTATTGTAAATGCCAGTTATATGGAAAAGAGTAATTCAGGGACGGATCATATCAACTGGGAGAACCATGAAAGTCCTCTTAAAAGATGTGGCACTTAAATTGTACCTTGAAAGAACCAAGGGCGTCCAGGATGCAACAGGAAGAATATTTCAGGCATGGGGAAAGCTAAGGAACAAGTAGGTCATTTTGGTAGAACCATAGTATTCATGAGGGGAAATCATATGTAATTAGTCTGGAAAGATAGGCTGGAGCCAGATTATAAAACATTTTAAAGGTGAGAAAGAGGAGTTTAAATTTTATTCTAGAGACTTAGGGAGCCACTCAAGCTCTTTGATTGAAGCAGCATATTCAGATCAGAGTTTTAGGAATATCATTTTGGTAGCTGTGTAGAGGATAGATTGGAGAGGAGATAGACTAGATCCAACCACTTACACCCTTTCTTCTTCCTTCCTCATTCACTCTTCAGTACAGTGATACTGGCCTCCTTGTTATTCCTAGTCTACGATATACTTTTCCCCAGTGGCAGGCATTTTCACTGGCTTCCCCCAGCTAGTTGTTGTCTCTCCCTTCTGGCTTCCCTCAAGTCTCAGCTAAAGTCCCACCTCCTGTGAGAGGTCTTCCCAGTCCTCCTTATTCTTAGTGCCTTCCCTCTGAGATTATCTGCAATTTACCTTGTGTATCTCCTGTTTACATGTTTTCTTCCTCATTAAGCTGTGAGCTCCTTTAGAGAAGGGACTGTTTTTTGTAAGCTCAGCACTTATTAGTGCCTGGTACATAGTAGGCACTTGATAAATGCCTGTTGACTAACTCATTAATTAGAAGGTTATAATAGTACACAAGTGAGATGTTGTGGGGATCTGGACTTAGAGTGGTTATGGTATAAGTTGACAAAAAGAGATTGAAGTGAGAAATGTAGATGAAGGATAGACTTGATGTGGTGGCTGATTATGGTGTAGGGAAGAAAGTAAAGAACCAAGGATGAACCCTTGTTTTATGCTTGGGTGACTAGAATAATGATGTAACCGTTGACATAAATAGGAGATTAGGAGAAGTGGGGAAAGAGTTTGGTTTTGGACATGGTGAGTTTGAGATGCCTGTGGGAGATATAGAAAATGTCCAGCATTCATTTGGAGGTGGGACTAGAGCTGAGAGATATGGAGGCTAGACTTGTAGGTTTGGTAGCCATTTCCATGGAGATGGTCCACGGGAGTTGGTGAACATACCATGAACCAGATGTAGAGAGAGAAAAGAAGGCTCAGAATATAGCCCCAGGAGTACACCCATGCATTGAAAGCAGGGCATGCAAAGAACGCTGAGAAGAATTGATTGGTCTGGCTGATAGGAATTATGGGTAAAAAGTCATAAAGAGATGAGCTCAGACTTTATGTCAGGAGAAACTTTCTTATAATTAGAGTTGTCCAAAAATAGAATGGGCAACCTTTAAAGCTGTTGGGCTCTGCCTTGTTGGAGGTTTTTAGGCAGAGGCTAGAACCAGTGCTTCTTAAACTGTGGGTCAAAACCCCATATGGGGTCCCATATGTAGTGCTGAAGTCCCATATGAAAGTGGAAAAAGTTTAAGAAGCCCTGGGCTAAACAACAATTCTCAGTTATATTATAATGGGGAATCCTTTTAGGTATGTGTGGGTTTGAATGGCCATTGAGGTCTCTTCCAGTTCTCAAATTCTGTAATCCTGTTAACAAAACCCAGAAAAGAGAAATTTTACAGAAGGAAGGAATGGTCAGTGATATCAAGTAGTATATAGGATTGAGGAAAGATCATTGAGGAAAGATCCATCTCCTCTCTCAATGTTAAAGCTTCAAGGGAGGAGGAACGTCTCAGTATAAAGCAGTAAAGGATCCCTTGAAATCACTTGTGCAGTCTAATTGTGGGAAAGGCACTTCCCTGGGCTTCAGTTTTATTATCCATAAAGTGAAGATTTGGAGCTGTGTGATCTCTAAGGTCCCGTCTAGTTATTCTTTTGATCCCATGATCCCTTAATGTATTTAGTAAACACCAATAAAATTTTGTTGTTCATCTTTGGCTTTAGCTGAAGCTTTAAAGGACACTTCTTTGGTTCTAGGAGAACTGGTTTCAAATAGCTGAGAGAATGGGATTCCAGTGCCTAAAGATTCAGAGCAAAGATCCCCGCCTAGATGGAATAGATTACCTGTCAGGAACTGACATCCCCGTGCACTATATCCTCAAACTAGCAACTCATGCCATTCATCTGGTGATCTTCTATGAAAGAAGTGGCCACTACCTCTGGCATGGACAGTTACGACTTAAAGGACATTCCGACAGAAAGTTTGTGCCTTTTCGGAAGTTGCAGTATGGTCGTTATCCAGGAGCTTTTGACTGGTGAGTTAAACAGCATGAAAAAAATCAGAAATGTTTGCTGACCCATCATTTCTTCATGTGTGAAAAAAATGTAACATAAAATTAATATATGCCAGTTCTAAAATTCAAAAACATTTAAAAATCTGATTATCAAGTTAAATGGTAATAGTCATCATACTAGATCAAGGACACATATTCATGATTCATTATGTATAGGAAGTAACAGCTAGTCACTTCATGACATCTAAATGTTTACTGATATAAGCATTTCTGTCCATTCATGGATTCCTTAGAGTTAGAACAAAAACATGAATATGAAAATAGCTAGTGAAAGCATCATTTTCTACTCCTTTGAGGAATAGCAGGTGAGTAGAGTTAGTGGCCATAGAGAAGAGAAATTTCAGCTCTTTTGAGGAGGAAGACAAATATTTGCTTTCCCTTTTATTTTAGTTATGCTAAGAGTTTTATAATTTCTGGGAGTGAATTGTCCAGTTTGTGAGTTGTCCATGCTCTGTGGTTCCTTTTCTTTTTGTCTACTTCGGCTATTTCCTTGCTAATACAGTACCTCTTCAAGGGCAGGAGGGCAGTAAGGGAAACTTAGCCATCCATTTTGGTTTGGGGTTTTTTTTCTGCTTGTTAGCAACTATTGTGAAGTGGGAGAGCATAAACTTCAATGGCTGCCAGAAGAGTTTGAATTATATGTGGTTTTCCCCGCTCTGTGCTGTGCTCTGTGTCCTTCAGTAAGCATCAGTAACACAATTGGCTTAATCATCCAGTCAGTCTTTCTAGGCTAATCAGAGACTTTCCTTTAATTGTTTGATTCTTTTCTGTCTTAAGACTGGGAGGCAATCTTGTGAGATAGAAGGAACACTGAACTGAGAGTCAGGCTCTGGTCACATCTCTGCAACGAACTAGCTATGTGACCTGGGCAGAACATATCTCTAGGGTTCAGTATTCTCAATGTAAATGTAAAGTGAGGGAGTTTGATAGAATTGTTTTCGAGCCCTTCTGACTCTAAAAGCTTTGGAATCTATCATACTTTAAGGGGGCAGACTAGATGGAACATTTTCACTTACTCTAGTACGTTGAAATCATTCTATTTCAGATATTATAAATATAATTTAGTACCTTTCTACTTTAATATGGACAGTGAGAATTGTGACTAAAGACTTAAAAGCTTATTGTTAACTTCATAAAAAATTGTGGAGCAAAAATGTACCTGTTTTGCTTTTAGTGTCCAAATTTGAAAAACTAAGGGTTTCTCAGTCATTATTTCGAAGTGAGAACATTGGGGGCAGCTAAGTGGCACAGTGTATAGAGCACCAACCCTGGAGTCAATAGGGCCTGAGTTCAAATCGGGCTTCAGACACATAACACTCACTTAGCTGTGTGACTCTGGGCAAGTCACTTAGCCGCAGTTGCCTCACCAAAAAAAAAAAATGAGAACAACATTTCCTTTGAAATATAGTTATTTTTAGGGGCAGCCAGGTGGCACAGTGGATAGAGCACCGGCCCTGAAGTCAGGAGGACCTGAGTTCAAATCTGGCCTCAGACCAAACACTTGACACTTACTAGCTGTGTGACCCTGGGCAAGTCACTTAACCCCAATTGCCTAAAAGCATATATATAGATATAGTTATTTTTATGGCATTTAAAATGTTGAAAATTCTATAATTAGTGGTGTGAATTTATGGTTATTTGAAGATATGTCAACTTTTGGCCAATTTGGCTGCCTGAATGGAGGCAAAGCAGATCAGCTCCCCTTTAAAGCCCTAAAAATAGCACCACGCCAAATGATCAAGAAATCCAGTGAGAAACTACAGTAAGTAACTTATTATGCCCAAGAAATGCACACAAAGTCAGCTGGAAGGTTGCAGGTGATAGGAAAGGGGGCTGCCAGCAAAGCTAGTACCAGCTCAGGCAGATAAACCAATAGTCTCTTTCTGTGACCAGACATGGGTCTAAGATATGTGTAGCCTGCAGAGCTCTGTATCTGGAGGCAGCAAAAACAGAGAAAGCCCTAGGGTGATCAGAAACCTTCAGTGAATACCTTAAAAACAACAGGAAATAATAATGGCAAGTGTGGTCAAAGTAGTACTCAAGAGTCCCTAGCACTCTGGGGTAAGATTCCATAGAGAGCTCTGAAGATATAAAACAGCATTTAAGAAAAAAAGATATAAAAGCCATACTTGGAGTTTAGCATCAAAAGTTAAATCCCTTTTCTTGTGACATTAAATCTTTTTCCCTTTTATAGATTCAGTAATGCTGAATCTGCTTCAAATACTGAGGGGCCTGCATATGAAACTGGAAACAAACATGCCTCCTCTATTCTATTTTTTACATTTGACAAAATTCTGACAATGAGAATTTCTTAAATTTGGTAAAATTCCAGTATCAAATTCTGAGGCATGGCAATTTCCAAGGAGAAGAATTGTTCCTTTAAAGAAAAATGATGATTTGCTTATGTTAACTTTTTTAATCAGAGTTCAAGAGTTGAATATTTAACTCGGAATGAAATAGTGTCTGAACCAATGCATTTTTCTTGCATGTAGATGTAGATTTTTTTTTTCTGACCCTAGCTAGGTATTAAAAAGACCAGTTTAGTCAAAATAATTTGAAAGATTGACTTCCATCATGGATTATTTTAGATGAGCAAATAATAGCCATTATTCTGAACATCCCATCCCTTGTGCTTGCCTCCACCTTATCCCCTTCCTTTTTAGGGAGTCTATGAGGACACCCTCAGAGATAGGAAACATCTGGTTCCGAGAAGACATGATTTTGGAAAGTTTTGTTAAAGGCTAGGACTAGTTCATTCATTCATCAAGTATTATTATGAGCCTACTATGCAAAAGTTGCAGCTGGATGGTGCAGTGGATAGAGTGCTGGGACTGGAGTCAGGAAGACTTATCTTCCTAAATTCAAATCTGGCCTCAGACACTTACTAGCTGTGTGACCCTGGGCAAGTCACATAATCCTGTTTGCCTCAGTTCCCCATCTCCAGATGGAGCTGGAGAAGGAAATGACAAACCACTCCTGTCTCTTTGCCAAGGAAACTCCAGATGGGGTTACAAAGAGTCAGGCGTGACTGAAAACACCTAAACAACAACAACCCTATGCAGAAGGCATGGGCTAGACACTGGGACATGGAGAACAGTGAATTTGTAGTTGGAGGACCTGTATTCAAGTCCTGCCTTTGATATCTTTTGATTGACCTTGGACCAAGTCACTTAACCTCCCTAGACTTCCCTTTATTTGTAAAATGAAGGAGTTGGACTAGATAGTCTCTGTAGTTCTTTCTAGTTTTTGTTATTGTTGTTGTTGTTTGTATTTTGCATTTTGTATTTTGCTGAGCAGTGGGGGTTAAGTGACTTGCCCAGGGTCACACAGCTAGTGAGTGTCAAGTGTCTGAGGTCCAGATTTGAACTCAGGTCCTCCTGATTTTAGGTCCCGGTGCTCTATCCACTGCGCCACCTAGCTGCCTCTCTTTCTAGTTTTAAATCTATTCATTTAGTCACCATTCAGTAGTCAAAAGTCAGTAAGCATTTATTAAATGCCTGCTGCATGTTAGATATTTTCCTAGATGCTAGGGATCAAATGAGATCCTTGATCTCCTGAAGTTTACATTCAGGTGTATAGTGTGGGTTCTAGTTGTCTTCAGTTAATCAGCATACATTCTTTGGTCTGGTAAGTGCAAGGTGCTGTATTGAACACTCAGTTTGTGCTAAATAAGCAGAATTTCAGTTTTACAATTTTGTAGAAGGGAGCATGGTTTTTTAAACCTTCAGACAGAAGCTCTCTATAAGGGCAGAAAAATTTGTTCTTCCTTTGTCTTATCTTTTTGTTTTTTAGAGGAATGATGAATCTCTCTGACATGGGAATATAATTCATTAACCTGATGGCCAGTCTCCAGCATTGCGCTCAGGCTGCCTCTCTTTTAAGTTTCTAGAGCTTAAAGACACTCTAAACAGCTTTCCCACAAAGTAAATTGATGGCTTCGTGTTTTTTTAGCACTGTTAACTTCCTTCCTACTGAAACCTGTGAGAATATTTATGAGTATGTACAAAAAATACATAAATCACACTTGTTTCAGGTAAAGTTTTATAGATTGTCCTTGATTTGTTAATTTGTAACTAAGTTGACTATGGTGAAAATATTCTTAAGATTTGCCATTTTTGCTGATGTTTTATATGTTTGAAGAGGCAGTGGTTTAATAACAATTATAGGTACAATGTCCTGGGTCAGAATCCTATCTCAAATTTTATGTTTTCTCTTCAGGCCAGAATTACTACAAGTTTCTGTTGATGGACTTGAAGTACAGATTCCAAAGGACCTTAACAGCTTTCTACAAGAAGTATCACACTCTAGGTTTATTGAATGTAGGTTTAAAGAAGCGCGCGCTTTCTTTCAGGTTAGTGACACTCAAGAAGTATAGCTTTTAAAATTAAAATAGGTTTCTATTTTTAATATTAAATAAAATATAGAAATTTGTGAAAAAAAACAAAATAAAACTTCTGTCAGCAGGATTGTTTATTTGTGAATGATCTCTTTTGGATATTTTGTTTTAATGAAAAAGTATGGCTTAACCTTGAGAATATAATTCTTTCCAAATGGATAGTTTGATGCTTTTGAGGCCCTTTTCTGAGTGGTGGGGAGAAGTTCATTATTTTTATTTAACACTTCAAAACCACTTATTCTTTTCTGCATACTTCTCACGTGTTTGAGGCAGAATTTTAGAATATAAAAGCTAGAAAGAACCTTAAGAAGTCAGTTAGTTCAACTTGTTTCCAGGTAGGACAGCCCATTAATTGTATATATGTAATGTAGTCTGTCCTGTTTTTCAAAGTGTCAAAGGAAGATTCCCCTTTGGATCATGAAGAAAATCTCCTCAGAGGGGTAATACTGAGGATTGCTTTTATAATTCTTGTCATATCATTTAAAGATAAATAAAATATGAGGATAGTGTTTTTGAACTTTATTCTTCATTAGTGTGAAGGGTATATAAATTGAACTTTATGGGGTGACATGGAGTAGAAATATTACACACATAAACAAGTCACTCATATAACCAGGTTTGGTGAGCACATGTGTTTCCTTAATCCTACATGACCTTCTAAATGGGAGAGGTGAGTAATATTTAGAAGCAGGATTTTTTTGATGTTCAGAAACCAGGATGAAGATTAGTGCCATATATAACCTAAGCCACTTATAGATGACCTTGGTAAAGTCACTTAACATTTTTCTGCTTCAGTTTTCCCATCTGCAGAGCAGGGATACTATGCATTTGTAAAGCTATTAGTGATTTTCAAATAAAAGCTGCTATTGATAAAAATATATAAAATTTATATCTATTTTGTGGTTTGTCTGCTGCAAAATTTTAATTCCATTCCGTTTAATTTAAATCCACGTAACACTCTACTTTCTCCATGTTCCACTAGTGAGTGAGTATAGGAACAGAGAATATAAACTGCTTTTAATGGTAGCTGAAGCAAAATATTTGGATTGGCATGTTCTCCCTTTGAAGCTACCTTTGAGGTACCTTAAGGTACCTTAAGCAAAACCAGATAAAATTGCAGGAAAAAATAATATATTTAAAATCCAAATTACTTGAGGATTACTAGTCATTTTTTTATTGCAGTGCTACAGTTCCTTCCATCAGTGACCAGAGAAAGATCATCTAAAAGAAATATTAATTTCTGAAATTATAGAAACTTTTATTTTAAACCTTTTTATGTAATACTTTAAAATAAATTTGGTTAATAACTTTTATTTTTACATTGCCTAATTTTTTTTTCCTGTATCTGTCTTAGTCTCTACTTTCAAAGAACCATCCCATGTAACAAAGAATATCCTCTTCATAATACTTTAAATGTTTTTTGAGTTTGTTTTTTCTCAAATACTGCATGCATTTAGCAGTAAGCCTTAATTCTTAAATGTACAATTTTTTTCATCATAGTGTAAAGAAAAGCAATTTTTTTTAAATTAGAAAGAGTTAAATATATCTTGTCATTCTGTTGACTTTTTTCTTCATTTAAATTTAAAATTTTTTTATTGATCTCTTATTTATACCATTTTTATTTCAAAATATATAATCTTCCCTTTTCCTTTCCCAAAGAGATATCCGTTGTAACACAGAATAAAAAAGAGAGGGAAAAAAAAGTTCAGCTAAATTAACCAACATATCACTTAAATTAGAGAACATATATAATGTTCCACATCCATAGTTCTCCACCTCAGCAATTAAGGGAGGTGCATATTCTCATCTCATCTTTAAAGACCCACTAATTATAGTCATTATAATTATGTAGCTTTCAGTTTTGACTTTTTTTGTTCTTTTCATTTTCAGATGATTTTTAAAATTATATTTTTAAAAGAGATTTATCACTGAGCATAAACACTTTCTCCACATGTTTTCAGAAAATCTATTTTAAAATAAGGCAGCTGAAAGTATATGAAAGTCTATCCTGTCCAATTGACAACATGCTTCTTAACTGATAAAGTCTGTGTTATTCTCATTTTCTTCTCTTTGAAGGTCCACAAATATTCAGTGTTCTGCAGGTACAGTCTTATTGTTAGTTCAAAAACATTTAACCCCTAAGTATTTTTTTTTACCAGCTTTGTATGTTTTCCCTGGCAATACCTGCATTTATTAGTATTGTGGCACCTAATGACAGAGAAAACACAGTGCTAATTGACAGGCATAACAGAAAGTATTTACTGAAATAGTTCTTTCCGGTAAGGACATCCTACGCAGAGGGAACACATTTCGTCATTCAACAAATATTGTGCATCTACTATACATAAGGTGCTATACAATTAGTTATTGTGGCAAATGCAAAGAGTAGTATAGCAATTCAAATCCTTAAGCAATTTACCACCCAGTGGGGAAGATGAAAAAAGTACAGAAATAATTGTAATTCGAGGCAGAATATGAAGAACAAAGTAATATGGGAGTTTGGCCGTACTGTTATAAAGCCTACTTTGTGAAATACCTATTAAAAGTAATTTCCCTTTGGGGAACAGCAATAAATAAACCATATTGTCAGTATAGAGTTTCACAGTAGTAAGCAAATGAGCAGTGATATCCGTTTGGGAATAAGTCATCCAGATCAAGTGACGTCTATAGAACTTTTACTTAGGAGGCTGTTTTATTGCCTACCATCCAGTTGTCTAGGCTCATTACATTCTGGTAGGTATCTATATCTATCTACATGGGGATCTATCTTTATAGATATAGATATAGATATACATGGAGATACATATCATCTATGTAGGGCTCTATGTCTATCTATATCAGGAAAGGCAGTATGATATGTAAGGTGTTTCATAATATTGAGAATTCATGAGAATAATGTCATGTTTTTGAATTCCAATATATTTGCAATCTTAATTTCAAATTTTAATGGAAAGCACTCAGGAAGCATCTGAGGAAAGGAAATGAATGATGGATGAGAAGAGCTCTTAATGTAACCATCCTAGTTAGGTACCATTAGTTTTGCTCTTTTTTTTTTCTTAAGCAAAATCAATATGCAAGATAGTAATGCTGCCTGGAGCATTCTGTTCTTGACAAAATCAGGTAGAGTTTTGCATTAATTCATTCTTCATCATGTCCATCCATGCATGAAAATAGGCCTATGACTCAGTATTTCCCTTTCTTGTTTCTATGTATTGGTTTTTCTGCTGTGGGACGCAGTAATGTTCCATGTGTTATTTTTATCTTTACCCTACTCTTACTTATTCCCTTCCTGCATCTTTGCTGCCTTCAGAGCCTTGGTTGTAATTGCCCCAGGTCAGTTATCTAATTAAAGTATTTGCATACTATTTTTAACACTTTATAGCACCAAATAAATTTAAATAATACTGCCAAATTTTTTAAAGAAAAGAAATAGGGTAGAAGAATCTATTAGGTGTTTGTTGAGGCTTTTTTTTCAGTCGTGTCTAACTCTTTGTGACCCATTTGGGGTTTTCTTGGCAAAGATGCTAGAGTAGTTTGCCATTTCCTTCTCCAACTGCCATAGTCATTCTGGTAGTATATCAGTAGTAATACAAGAACTGTACCTAATGAGAGAAGTATGTTCATAACTACACTATTATAAGTCATATGTATACATTTGCATACCTATATCTGATTTTATTGTAGCAGTAGTCATTAACTATGGAGGTAGTGAAAAGAGTTATGATGTTGTTGTTCAGTCATGTACGATTCTTAGTGATCCCATGGACCATCGCATGCTAGGCCCTTCTATTGTCCACTATCTATCAAAGTCTGTCCAAGTTCACATTGTTTTTTCCATGATACTGTCTATCCATCTCATTCTTTTCTGTCCTCTTTTCCTTTTGCCCTCAATCTTTCCTGAAATCAGGTCTTTCCTAATAAGTCTTATAGTCTTATTATGTGGCCAAAGTATTTAAGCTTCAGCTTCAGTATTTGACCTTCCAGCCTGAGTTAACTTCCTTATGTATTGACTAATTTCGTCTCCTTACTGTCCAAGGGAGTCTCAAAAAGTCTTTTCCAGCACCACAATTTGAGTGTGTTGATTTTGTGGCTCTCAACTTTCCTTATAGTCCAACTCTCACAGCCATATATTGCAACTGGAAAAATCATAGCTTTGACCAGGCAGACCTTTGTCAGCAAGGTGATAACTCTGATTTTTCACGTGTTGTCCAGATTTGCTATTAATTTTCTTCCAAGGAGCAAGGATCTTAATTTCATTGCTGTAGTTGCCATCTGTAGTGATCTCCAAGCCCTAGAATACGAAATCTGACGTTACTTCCATTTCTTCTCCCTGTTTGTTGAAGTGATGGGACCTGTTGCCAAGATCTTAGGTTTTTTTGCTGTTAAGTTTCAAGGCAGCTTTTATGCTCTCCTATTTTACCCTTATCCAGAGACTTCTAAATTCCTCTTCACTTTCTGCCATCAGAGTAGTAGCATCTGCATATCTGAGATTGTTTACATTTCTCCTGGCAACCTTAATTCCAGCTTTTGATTTATTTAGCCTGGCATTTTGCATGATATACTTTGTGGAAAAAAAAGTTAAAGTGACAATATACTGCCTTGTTGTACTCCTTTTCCAATCTTAAACCAATCAAGTGTTCCATGTTCGGTTCTAACTGTTGCTTCTTGGCCCACATACAGTTCTCCAGGAGACAAGTAAGGTGATTTGGCATTTCCATCTCTTTGAGGACTTGCCCATATTTTGTTGTGATCCACACAGTTAAAGGCTTTAGTGTAGTCGATGAAGCAGGAAGTAGATGTTTTTCTAGAACTCCCTTGCTTTCTCCATAATCCAGCTAATGTTGGCAGTTTGGTCTCTGGTTCCTCTGCCTCTTTGAAAACCAGCCTGTTCTTCTGATAATTCTTGATTCATGTGTTGCTGAAGCCTAGCTTGCAGAATCTTAAGTATAACCTTG